TATATATATATATATGTATATATATATATATGTATATATATATGGTTATGATCCACAGCATGTGTAAGCCTACCCTGGACGTGTTACAACTTCATTCTCATAATGTTACGACCTTGTTCTTGTAATTTTATGGCTTTCTTTCTCATAATGTAATTTGTTTTTCTTAGCGTGGCCCTAAAGCTCCATCGTATGAGTCCATTTGTATTGTTCTCATTTGGTCGAGCTGAAGAAGACATGTTGATTGTCCTTTTGGGTAAAGAAGAGTGCATGATTGTTTTACAAGCTAGCTATATCAATAACAGCACGATGTGGGCTCGTTGGGGTTGTTTGCATACGTAAGTAGTTCTTGAACTGTGCCGTGTGATCCCTTAGGGAGACCCAGGGCCATGTCCCGTGGGGGGTGACTTTTTCTTTTTAACCATTTTGACCACGTTGTCCTCGTGCTGGTTCGGTGGGTAGTAAGTGGCCATTTTGCCTATAACATTTGATTGTTCTGCACGAATGATGGATTGTTTTAAACTGATGGTCCACTGGTTTGCATGTATAAAGCCAGGCTGCCTGGGAACTCAACAGCAAACTGGTTTGAAACACATCAATAGGGAACAACTTAATACTCAGATCCTGTTGGCAGGCCTCAGACTGATGAAGTCCTTTGGATGAAAGATGAACCGTTTCTTGCAAAAAAAAATTGTCCTGATGACATGATGTAACTTTTTTGTGAATGTTGAAAGATGTTTATTTGTTTGCACAAGATCATAACAAAAGTATGATGGGCACGTAGAACTTAATAGTGTTGGAAATGGTGTCTTTAAAATAAAAAGTTTTTCCTCTCGTTGCACATTCTTCTTCGATGCCTGTTTACAAAATGGCCTGTGCTCAGCAGAAGAGTTTGTTGAGCGTCCTGGTAATTTGATCCTGGTATTCAACGTCAGGAGCCAGTAAGGAAGTGAAGGAGGTGGAGGAAAATAACTACTTTCCTTCTCTGTAAGGAGTTTATCTCCTCCTTCTGTTCTGTTCGGAATAAGCATTTCCTTTTTCAGTAAGATGCTCTAAAGGTGGCTATTTTGGGGAGTTTGTGATGTTCTGCGAAGATGCCCAGCAGCCAGTGATGTTCAGTCTGAAGTTTATCTGTGGTAGCTACCGTCCCATTTGAGCAGAGATGAATTGACCTTGACATTACTAGAAGTCTCCAGAGTTGCTGTGGTTGCCTCAGTGCTGGAACATGAGAGCAGCACTCTTTGTATCCATGGGAGCACAACAGAAATGCCATGCACGCCTGTTTTATACCTTGTTGTTTCAACTGTACTGTGGTAATCGTGAGGTAATTTATTATGTTTCTGCTCTGGAGATGACCTTGCTTTAGGTCAGATTCCCTCCTAACTATATGGGGGAAGTGTTTTCTTCAAGTCTTAAGCTGTGTGTTAATGTATGAAGAAAGGAATGTTGAAGGAAGAGCAGCGTGTGGGTCAGTGTTTCAGCAGAGCGCGGTCACGTGATCAGAGGGCCAGGCCTAGTGGTGGATGACTCACCCCTCTGGGTGTCTGGGAGCACAGCACCTCCTGTAGGCTGTCTGTCTCACTGCAGCTAAGGAACATAAAAGCTTATGCATGGTAGACATGTGTAATGAAACACCTTCTCACAGAACTGGATTGACTCATACCAGTGTTTCCCCTAGATAACTTGCCATGGCGGGGCGCTCATCTCGTCCGTGACTTTTGCCGGGCGGGCGAGATGGATGTAGTCACGTCCTAAGTTGTGCAACGCACAGTTTAAACCTACAGTTTTAGAGCAGGGTGTGGGAGAGGAGAGGGACTGATCTGAGCCGTGCGCTGTTTGTACCGACAGTTTTCGAGTGGCGGGGTGCGTTCAGCGTGAGGGTCAGCATGAAGGAAGAGGCTGCCTTTAGCTTTTTAGCTAGTGCACCTGCATTGTGAGCTGCTAGTTTAGCGTTACGTCAGTGCTGACAGGTGGTTGGAACTTGGGGGTGGGGTTCTGTAGACGGGGCGCCCCCCTTGTATAATGGTAGGGGAAACATTGCATACTGTAAACATGTATGTGATGAAAAAAGCATTTACGTGTTCTTCTCTCTGAACCTTTGGACTGTGGTGGACACAGTGAATCCACTTGGTTGAACTGAACTCGGAAGTTCTGCTTCTGTCATTGTCAAACCGTGGACAAGAACATGGTCCATGACGGGGTTATTCAGGGGGCCACAGTTGCTGAAAGCCAAGAGCTCGGGCCGGACATCCAGTAGTTCTTGTCATGAAGTTTGTTTTATGTTTTAAAATCTAGTTTTATTTAAAATGAAGTTGATGCCACTAAGAGACTCAGCATGGTGAAAAGTACAATGGATCGGTTGAACAACTGACAAGAAAAGATAAAGAAAGTGCCGTTTTAACTTGGATGTGCTGAACAGTGGACAGTTCACAAAGAAAAGTGAAAGCAGTGTTAAACCTCTATCTCCAGAATGGCTGCAGGACCTTGCATCTCTGTCGCTGAGCACTTGAACAAAATTGTGCAAGGCTACAAGAAAGTTGTGTCCCAGTATTATGGCAGCATACATACAACCATAAAGCTGACTTTGTACCAAGCTGGCAAACTGTGAACCTGCTCATTGTCCCCACCTTAGAGATGTGTGTGTGACCGGAGTTAACGCCGACTTGAGACGGTACAGAAACAAGATTACAAGGTTCAAGGTTCTGTGTTGTCATTCGCATCACATGTGGTACAGGAGGTGGAACAAAATCATGTACTCAAGGTCCCAGTTACACACAAAAGTAGCAAAAATATAAACTATAAAAAAGAAACCGTATACAAGGATCTAAGATATAACACCAGTCCATACTCAATAATCCAGGTGTACAATCCAACAATTTTCAGTCCGGTCATCTGGACAGTTTCTTTACTTGTGCTGAAACGTTTCTCCTTCCATCCAGAAGGCTTCATCAGTCAAGGAAACACACAACAAAACTGATTCTTCCCCCAAACAGCTTACTCCAAAGTGGAACAAACCAGTTCTGTTGGTGTCTTTGGCACGCCCCCTCCTCCATTGCCAGCCTCTTCCTTGTTGACAAATTGTGGGCCCTGAATCTATCGTCTGTTAAAGATCAACTTTTTGAATGGAATTATGGAAGTTAAACAACTTTTCCACGATGTTCTAATTTTTTGGAAAGGGTCTGTGTTATCAGTTTGACACCCTTGCTTAGACAGATGTACTGGTGTACACCTCCACCACCACCCATACCAGCACATCTTTTCTTGTAAAACCAGTTAAAACTCATTTTCCTGATCAACTCTACTGTTTATAGATTATGCTAATAACCTTTTTGTCTTATCAATCGTTGGACATCATGTCGCTATAAGCACCATTTACTTAGATCCAGCTGTGTTGTTGATCTTTATTCAGGCTCAGGTCTCACGGGGGTTGCTTTCTCTCCTCAGGTCCCTGATGACCGTGAGCCGGGGGCTGCGGCTCAGCGGCGCCCCACCTCTGGAGTGGTCTGTTGCTATAATTTGGACAGTGTAATTCCTCCTCTCCCCACCTTCCCATCCTGTCCCTTCTCTTCCCCTCCCCCCTTCCCCCCCTCCTCCTCCCCCCTCTCCCACGCGTCGCTGTGCTGGACGTCATGAGCATAGTAATCACGCTGGGAGTCACTACACCTGAAACGTCGTACTCGGATATGGCTGCTGGATCAGAGTAAGTTCAGCTGCTTTTCTCATCGTACGATTGTTTTTACAGCATCACCCGTTTGTTTCTCCTTACAGGCTTTCTTCTGGTTTTTGATTCTGAGGATGCCGTAACTTTGCTGTACAGTAGCCCCTCTCTACTTCGCGTGTCGTTTTTCGTGGACTCGCTGTATTGCGGTTTATCAAAATAAGATGAAATAAAGTATGTTAAATTATTTAGCACCTGCTGCTCCTCTGTGCAGCACACACTGTAGGATAAACCCTCCTGCAGCTGATCTCCTGCAGAGCGCTGAAGTGGGCGTGGCCGAGAGCACTTGCAGGTGGCTGAGTGCAGCGGAGGCAGAGAGCTGAATTCATCACATGCTGTGCTCGAAGTTTAGAAACATTGTTTAGAATATTGCAAGAGTGTGGGAAGGGTTTAAAAGAAAGAACAAGATCTCTGATACAAGCGGCCGAAATGAGTTTTCTCCGCAGGGTGTCTGGGCTCTCCCTTAGAGACAGGGTGAGAAGCTCGATCATCCGGGAGGGACTCGGAGTAGAGCCGCTGCTTCTCCACGTCGAGAGGAGACAGTTGAGGTGGCTCGGGCATCTGCTTAGGATGCCTTCTGGACTGGTGAGGTGTTCCGGACACGTCCCACCGGGGGGAGGCCCAGAGGAAGACCCAGGACACGCTGGAGGGACTATGTTTCTCGGCTGGCCTGGG